TTAGGACCAGCCGGTGACATGGTCGTTAAGGCAGTTGGATCCCACATGGCCATGGCTGACTGCATGGCTTGAATCTGGGACCCAGATGCTTGAAAAATATGCCGAGTGCACATGCATGCCAAAAATCCTGAGAGGAGACTGAAGGAGAAGGGATTGCAGTGTGGCCACCCACACCCCCACCCCGGGGGAATGAATCTCACTTCTCTCTCTGTCTCTCGCTGTTTCTCTTGGTGAGTGCACATGCCCTATAGCCAAAGAGAGAGAAAGAGAGAGTACAGACATCGGCCTCAGTTCCTCCTCTGCACCCTGCAGTCCTGTCACGGCAGCTGTCCCTGGGGCAGCTCCCCCTGCTGTCCCACCATGACAGCTGTCCCTGGGGCAGCTCCCTCTGCTGTCTTATCAAGGCAGCCGTCCTTGGGGCAGCTCCCCCTGCTGTCCCGCCAAGGCAGCAGCTGCCCCCAGGGCAAGGTCACCATCAGCTGTTTCTGGACCTCCCCGCAGCACCCCCGCAGACTTGTAGCTGCTCTTGCTCCGTTTCCAGATGATGTTTTTCCTTTCCTGGAAAGAACCACGAACTTCCGCCGCTGTCCCCATAGAGTGACCCTCACTCCATTGTCCTCCTGGGACTTCGGGCACTCGTGCCCATGCACCCGCTCATCTCTCCCCCTCCCCCTGCTCCATCCCAGCAACATCCGGGACTCTCCTCCACACATGCCAGCTGGCCAATGACCCAAATCAAGCCCAGCGATCCAGGTACTAGTGGAGTGATGTCCAGACAGTTGCTCCTGACTGTACTTACGGCCACCCCCCAGGGGGCGATTTCCACTTGCCCTCGCTCTCTGTCTCTCTCCAGCAAGCATGTACAGGCTCTATGGCAAAAATCTAAAAAGAAAAGAAAAGAAAGTTATGACACTGCAAGAATCATTAACTACTGGGACTTCTCTATTTTGAGCCATTGTAAACATGGTTTTGGAAATGACACAATATCAAACACCTGTAGACTACTTAAAGATTCCAAACCCTAGGGCCAGCAGGCGGTTTCGTGGTTAAGGCACTGGCCTCCCACATGGCTGACCACAGTTCGAGTTCCGGACCCAGTGGTTTGAAACTCATGCTGTGTGTGTGTGTGTGTGTGTGTGCGCGCGCACGTGTGTGTGCACGTGTGTGCGTGTGTGAGCACGCACCCCAAATGATTGCAGCATGGCCCTCCCTACTGGGGAGTGACTTCTCACTTCCTCTCTCTCTGCCTGTCTCCAGCAAGTGCATGTGCCCTCTAGCAAAAATCTCTCCTAAAAAAAAAATCCCAAACCTGAAAATTCAGGGGAAATGTCAGTGCAATTATGCAATATATAAGTAAAAGGAAAGGGTTATTTTGTTGGAAAAATAAAAGAGAATGTTGAAGGAGAGGAATCAGATAACATGAATAGAGAGGACTTTTCTATTTTTTCTTTTCTTTTCTTTCTTTCTTTTAATTTTTTTTTAAGGTTTTTGCCACAGAGTGTGTGTGCTCACCAGAAAGACAATGAGAGGGAAAGTGAGAAATCACCCCCCAGGTGGGATGGCCACGCCGCAATCCCTTCTCCTCCGTTCTCCTCTTGGGATTTTAAGCACTCTTGCACACGCACCCAGTATGATTTTTTTTTTTTTTTGAGAGGTTTTTCGCTATAGGGCGTGTGCACTCGCCAGACAGAGAGAGAGAGAGACAGAGAGACAGAAAGTGAGAAATCACCCCCCAGGTGGGATGGCCACGCCGCAATCCCTTCTCCTCCGTTCTCCTCTTGGGATCTTGGGCACGCACGCACATGCGCCTGGCATGAGTTTTAGGCCACTGGGTCCAGGACGCGAACCGCAGTCGACTATGTGGGAGTCCAGCGACATAGCCATTACGCTAACTGCTGGTTTCCACCCAGCATGATTTTCAAGCTGCCACGTCTGGGAGTTGAACCATGGTGGGCAACGTGGGAGTCTAGTACCTCAACCACCATGCCACTTGCTGGCCCTAGAGATGACTTGTCAGACTTCCTCTGGAAAGGGGAGCGGAGCAATGGGGCAGTGGCTGGAGAGAGATTTTCAGTAAAGAGGAGACATTATGGCACTTACCTATGCTGACGGGAATGGCCTTCTTTGTGCTTGCTTTCCACCCTACCTTTGTTTATTCTGTCCTCAGCTCCCCTAAACCCTTCAGGGCTCAGCTGAAGTGCCACCTCTTCTCTGAAGCCTTGCCAGCTTTCCTGGAAATCAGAAGTGGGGAGGGCTCTTTCCCACCCCTCAAATTCCCATAGCCCCTCTTGAAGGTATCTTAAATGTATAACTGGTATCTGGTGATTGCTTCTCTACAAGCTCCTTGGTAACTGCTCCCTGTCCGGCTCATTTCATAACCATGCCTTCCTCACTCTTCATCTGCCCCCAGACCGACACTTAGATCTGCTCGAGAAATAGTTATGGAGTGAAGAAGGGAATTCCAGGAGCTGGTTTGTACAGGCTGGTCCAGGGACCTAGGATAGCTCTTCTGTAAGCCGTATATATCAGCTGTGCCCTTGAAGGAGCCCTAGGGGATGCTTACATAGGGTGTGCTTGGGGAAACACCCCCCAGTGTGACTTTCAAGCTGCCAGAACCAGGGCCGTTAGCTCTGTGGCATCTGGTTTTCTGCAGAGAGCTTCACTGCTGCACTATGGCATCGGCCCTCGCTTGTGAGACAGTCAGAAGGCCACGGCAAGACTGAACGATTGCATTAAGGTCACGAGGAGGAGAAGAGGATGACCCCTGGGGACCTGGTGATGCCTTCCATCTAGACAGGGATAGTGAAGGAGCTGGACCAGGGACAGGAATACGAGGCGACAAATCCCATGTCGGACATGCGGAGTTTGAGGTGTCTGTCTATGGCATAGCCAGGTGGAGCCGTCCTGGGCTGTTGGACCATAGATCTTAGTCAAGAGAAGGAGGCCGGCTGCAGACGTAGCTGTGGGAGACGCCGTGGGCTCAGTAATGGCCCCGAGATAACCAGGCCCTGATCTTTGGAACCTGTACATGCTACTTACATGGCAAAAGAGATTTTGCAGATGTGATCAAATTAACCATCTTGGGGTGGAGAATTTATCCTGCATTATCTGGAATGGCAGAATTAATCACAAATGTCTTCATAAGAGGTAGGCTGGGAAAAATCTGACCACAGGGAAGAAGGCGAGATAACACTGCAGCGAGGTGCTTGAAGATGGAAGAGGGGCCACAAGTCAAGGAATGCAAGAAATGCAGCTCAGATTCTAGAAAAAGATAAGGACATGGAAACTCCCTCGAGCCTCTGGAGACAGTTTAGTCCTGCTGACACCTGATTTTGGTCCAGTGCAACTCTTTTCAGACTTCTGACTTCCAGGAGTATGAAATAATAAATGGATGTTGTTGGGGCCAGCAGGTGCCATGGAGGCTCTGGCGCTGGAGCTCACATGGCCGATTTGGATTTGGCGGTTCAAGTCCCAGACCTAGTGGCCTGAAAGATACATTGGGCCCATTGGGCTGAAAACAGACTGGAAAGAATGCAGGGAGGACAGAGGGTGAACCAGGTGGTATTTCACAGCATGCTCGCCTCTTCTCTCCCATCTGAATTGTTTCACTTTGAATTCTGTTACAAAAATAGTGCGTTACAGAAAGTTAGAAGGTGCAGCTTAGTCCAAGAAAAGGAAAATTCCTCATAGTATTCTCACCTAGTAATGTTTTAGTGTATCTCTTTCCAGGTTTGTTTGTTTTTTCTTTTCTGTGCAAACTGTGTAATTCCCTCATGCCCCATACGGGGAAAACACCATGGGACCACCGGTTTAAGAGGAGGAAATTCAGGCTTAGAGAAGCAAGCAAGTTATCCAGGTGCACACAGCTGGGCAGCGACACAGCGGGGGTTGGGACTTAGGTCTGTCCCACCCCAAAACCAATGTTCTTCACCGTGAGGGGACCCTGGCTTTTTACCTAGAGGAGTTTTCCCCAGAGAATCTCAGGCCACAGAACTAAGGTCGAGTGGATTTCTATCCCGAACCCCATCCCGCAATCGCTCTGGGATGGAGGAAGGCACCAGGCGGGCCCAAGAAGAGTGAAGGGCCAAGTCGGGGAGCCGTCCCTACCGTGCGGGCCTACCGGGTACCGCGCCTGCACGTGTTGGCCTCTCCCCCGACAACGCCGGGCAGCAGGCTTCCCCTTATACAGACAAGGAAACCGAGGTTTTCAGAAGAGAAGTGATTTTCCAGCCCTGAGGCAGATCTAAGCAGCAGACGGCCAGCCCTGGGGCCTGGCAGAGGTGAAGCTGAGAGCGGGGTTAGGGGTGCTGAGATTAGGGGCGGGGCGAGGCACGGAAACTGAGCGGGGCGAGCGAGAGACGAGCGGGTGGGAGTGAGGGAGAAGGGGCGAGGTCATGGGGAGGCCGGGAACGAATCGGTAGCGAGGAAAAGGCGAGAGGCACTTAGGAGGGGTGCGGAGCGGCGGCAGCCAGGGCCGTGGGAAAGGGGGACTTGAGAAGGTGAGGAGGGGCAGGGAGGGAGGACGGCGGAGGAGCTTCGGAGGCCGGGGGCGGGGCGGCGGGAGAGGGGGGGGGCC